CCCCACAGCCTGTCCCTGTGCCTTTCACAGGAAACGCCGCACAGCCTCCCATAGCAGCACTGAGCTGCCTTGAGAAGTGGCTCTCGATCTCGGGCTGGCTCTCACTCTGGCAATGATGCTGGATCGGATGAGAGAACTGGTGTGCAGTTGGCTTTGCTCTGGACCTCATGCCAGAGCGGGTTTTGCCTGTGGACGGGGTCCACGGGTCGGAGCAGAGGGGCTCTAGTCTGTGGGGGCACTGGCTCAGGCTCTCGAGCTGCTTCCATGGCTGGCTCGAGTCAACGCGGGGGTACGTTGTAGTGCATCAGATGGTTCTAGATCTTAGCTGCCGCCAGGGCTGACTCTGCCCCATGCCTCCTGCAAGGTCTCATGTTAGAGATGCTCTAGCTCTGTATCGCCCGCTAGCTGACTGTGGGTGAGTAGGACCTTAAGACAGCCTCGGAGAGTTTTTCAGGACCTAGAATTCATAGCTGTTAGGATCAGGTCACTTAGTTAGACACAAAAGTGGTTAATATCCTAAAGGACAATAAACTATATCCTTTGATGTTCTATTTTCTTCCTGGACCGAAATTATTTGCTTCTCTACCGGCAAAAACCTTCACGCAAATGTCTAATTTCACTAAGTTGGGGACCTCTACTAAATAGCAGTCAGTTGAACGAAGTCCATTTTCCCAGTCTTCGGGTGGCCTGTCCCCTTATGTGAGAAGAAATGACATGCCAGCCTCCTTTCGCCTTATGTCCAAGCTCGGGCGGTCAGTATTCTCTTTACTCTCGCTCAGCTGGCAGCTCTGGTTCAGAGGCTAAACATGGCCTTTGGAGCCTGGGTTCGAGTTCTGGCTGTGACCCAGGTCAGCTGCGTACCCATGGTGTGCCTCGGGGTCCTCGTCTGCGGAGGTGAGGGACACTCACGATGCGTCATTATGGCCAGTGATCACATGGTCTTCTATCCTTTCACTTTCTGCTTCTCCATATGAGGCCTCTTAGACCTCAGGCATATATCTGGATTTGGTTTGTAGTCCAATCGGACAATTTGACTTTTTATTGGTGTACTTAGTCGGCTTACATTTAATGTACATGAAGTGACATTCAGGTGTAACTCTACCATCTTATTGGTTTGCTCTTTCCTCCATCTGTTCTTTTTTTGAAAACTCGTTCCATGCCTTCCTAAAGATTATGCAAGTATTCTCTGTCACTCCAGCCCCCTCCATTAACGTGTTATTATGCCTTCTCTCATTATTCCTTCAGGGACTGCTCAAGGGAAGTGCTGTCCCCATAGAAACAGTCCATCCCTGCGCTGTCAGGGCATGCCCCCCTCCCGTTCCCAGATATTAGCAAGGCCCTGGGCCTCTGTAACAGGGGTTGCAAGCTTTCCCTGTAAAGGGCCACATAGGCTTTGTAGGGCCTCCTCAACTCCACCATTATAGCTTAAAGCGGCCATAGATAATATGTTGATAAAATAGCACAGTTATGTCTAAACATACTATCTTTACCAAACAGATGACAGGTAGATTTTACCTGTGAGCAGTGTGCTGACCCCGGCTTTATAGCCTCAGCATCTCTGGGTAGGGGTTGGGGGGGGGCATCTGGCTCCTGGGCTCCACTTGGCTCCAGTACTACTCTTCCTCTTCCGGTCTCTTTGAGCCTGGAGGTGATAACGGTTTCCCATCTACCTGTCCCCGGAAGTCCCTCCAACTGCTTTGGTTTTTTATTCCCACCCACACATCTGTAAACAGTTCCTCCACTAAACTCTTCAACTGAATGCTGCAGCAGGCCATCCAGCTCCTGCAAAGACCCTAACGGAACTTTAGGCTTACAGCACGCATGTATTCATTCCACTGTGGCCCAAGTTGCAGCCAGCAGTTTGCAGATTGGCCTCCCTGCCCAGGAAGAGCCTCCTGCAGGGCAGACACCATGTCTTAGTTATATTTGCATCCCCACCACACCCATCCCTCACCTGGGCACAAAATGAGAATGAAGAATCTTGGCTAAACTGACCTAAATTAGCAATGCAGAAATGGAGCCAGGAGAGGTCAGCATGTAGAAAAAAGACTTGAGGGGTTCTAATTTAAAGTGGGTAGGTTGTGAAAGAGAACTATCCAGGAGAGAGTGAGTTACTCGAGGAGAGCCAGAGGATTTGTCTCAAAGTTATCACAGAAGGGAAACATGTAAGGACCTGGTGTTACAATGTTAAGTCTTCAGTGTGGTTGAGCTGTTGTGTTATCAGTGTCCTATGTGGAGTGTGGTCGAGCACTTGGTGTAACAAATGTCAGCTGTTGAAAGAGGTGAATGTCAGCTGCCGCAGTGAGTCAGAGTAAGGAAAAGAATGAGCACAAGTTCATTTTGCAAATAGGAGGTCACGGCGTCATTTGAGAGGGGTGTCCACAAAGTGGCCTGTATTCAAGCCACGTAAAAAGCAGCGAAATAGCAAACTGGAACCGAAAGTTGGAGCAACTACTCAAGAATATTAACTTTTTTAAAAATAAGTTTTTAAATGGAGAAGGTAATACATGAAAATAGTCAAGATGAGACTAGAATTTAGAAGTTTATGTTGAACACATTGCTTCAAACACATAGTCATAATGGATTTATAAATTATGGAAACAGAAAACAAAAAGACACAGCAGGGCTCGAAAACACCAAAGTTCTTGGACCAGAAACAGAGGTGAGAGTGGCTCCTGTCGGCTGGTTTCTGGGGCTGGAAGTTGGCCACCGGAGTGGGCAAGGGGCTCACCCCACAGGCTTGGGTGAGGCTGTCCTACGTGGTGTAGGAAACTAAACCAAACAACCAAGAAAACCCTGTTGCTGACAGCTGCCTAGGGCTTTTGAACACAGTGGGGGCTTAGGAGTACAAAGACATAGACCCAAACTGAAGACCAAGAATGAACACCACTGCCCGCAGACCGTGCATCTGACATGCTCTCCTTGTTATTGAAAGCCTTGACATGCCACGTGGGACCCCGTTCTGGGCTGAAGGTGGAAGCGATGGCAAGGCCACTGACTAGGGAAGGGTGAGGAGCAGGAGGGGAAGGGGGAAGAGCCGCTATCTCCTGCCCGCTGCCCGCAAACCTAAATTCCAGGACATGTGAAGAAACCCAATGCTAAGAAAGTTAACAAATCAACAGTCAAAACATTTTCTTCTCCTTAGATAATTGAAAGTAAGAAAAAAAGACAGAAATGAAATAAGAATAGATGGATAGGAAAAAGGACCAATTAAAATCTTCAAAGTAAAAAATAAAAGTCATTGAAATAAATACCTCAAACTATCACAAACAAAACGACCTCAAGACAAAATTAATAAAGGCTGTTTACCCATCAACTTGCAGCAAGGGAGCCCTTCTGATGTCACTTTCAAGGATTTTAGAAAGGAAATTAAGTTTTATCAGGTAGAAGGGGAAAAGTCTTGGACTGGGAAGCATCCTATTAAGGTGGGATTTTGGAGTAGAAGAGACTTCAGTTTGTCTGCAGGTACTTCTGACCGTCCTTGGTTGTCTGAAGGGGGCCAGGAAGCAGTTTGGGCAACTTCCAAGAAGACGGACCGTGGGATGCTAGGAGAGACAGGTGTTCTGCAGGTGGCTGCACCTTGGAACAGGTGGGGCCACTGGGACTCTTTAGAGTGAGTATCCTCTTGAGAAGTGACCCCATGATAAAGGTGCCTCCAAACCGACTCTCAAGGAGCATTAAGGAAATGACCACCTACTGGGGTGGGTTAGAAGGAGGTCTCCAAGAACACCACTACTCCGTTAGCATTTCCCTCTTGGAACAGAAATCTATTTGCGAAGACACATGACCCTTGAATAACTTTTTTTTTTTTTTTTGAGAGAGAGGGAGAGAGAGAATGAGAGAGAGCATGAGAGGGGGGAGGTTCAGAGAGAGAGGTCGACCCCCTGCCGAGCAGGGAGCCTGATGTGGGGCTCGATGCGGGGCTCGATGCGGGACTCCGGGATCATGACCTGAGCCTAAGGCAGTTGCTTAACCAACTGAGCCACCCAGGCGCCCATGAATAATATGGGTTTCTACGGGGGATTTCACAAATAAATATACATAACAGTGCTGTAAATGCATTTTCTCTAACTCATGAGCTCCTCTATGACATTTTCTTTTCTTTAGCTTTTTATCGTAAGAACACAGTATGTTATACATACAACATACAAAACGCGTTCATCACTGTTTACTTTACGGGTAAGGCTTCCGGCCAACAGCAGGCATTGGAAGTCAAAAGTTTTTTCGGTCAAAAATTATGACTGAGGGGAGCAGGCACAGCTAACTCGGTCGGTCCTGGGTCAATTACATCGCAGACAGCTGGCTTTATTTTTGGTCAGACGAAAACCTGAATTTTAAAGCATGGAAAGAGTTCAGACCACACTTCCAAGCTATGAATCAGTCACAAACTTTAACAACACGAGCGCGAAGTTGAGCGCTCTCTGGACTCGGCTGTTGGCCCACTCTTTGGAGGCACTTATGGGAATTGTATTCCGTAGGTGCGGGACAACGCCGCACACACCGCGCAGGGGAAGCCCGACAAGGCGGCGAGTTAAGGGACCGGGAAGTCCCCGGCGACCGGGAAAGGCAGGACTCCGGGGGCCGCGGCCGCCGCCGTCCCCGGACACGCGCACCTGGGGCACAGCCCCGGGCCGGCCTCCGGCGCGCGCCCACGCGCACGCGCACGCACACGCGCCCAGCCCCCAGCGCCCAGAGCCCGGGGGCGGGGCCGCCGGGACACACCGCCACCGCGCGCCTCGGTGACGTCATCCGGCCCGGGCGCGCGGGAGGCGGAGCCTCGGAGCGTCGCCGTCCCCGCTTGCGCCCGCGCCGCGGCGGTGACGTCATCGGGCCCGGACGCGGGACGGAGCCTCTTAACGCCGTCGCCTTTTGTGCTCTCCCTTCGCCGCAAGCTGTCGTCATCAGGCTCCGGCGCTCGCGGGGCGGGCACGGACGCGCGGGCGGCGCTTCAGCCGGGTTGGAGCTGAGCGGAGAGGGCGGGGAAAGGCGGCGAATCGAGGAGGGGCGGGAAGGTGGCGGCCGGTACATGGCGGAGCGGTTCCCTCTGTACCCGGTGCGCAGCGCGGCCGCCGTGGCCAACCGCAAACGCGCGGCCGACTCCAGCGCGGCCGGGCCTGGGCCGGGGGCCGAACGGCCCAGCAGGTAACGACGGCGCCGACCTCCCTCCCCCCGCGGCGGCCCTCCCCCCGCGCCTCGGGCCCCCCGGCCCCCGGTCCCCGGCGGCTGGTCTGTCCCAGCTCGCAGGCCGCGCACAGTGCTCCGACTCCCGCGCGCCTGCACTCTGGGGGGGCGTCCACCCTTGGGAGAGGCCCCGGGACCCAGCGTCGGGGCCGGGCGGGGTCACCCCCAGCTCCGCCCCAGTCCTGGGCTGCCTTGGCCATCGACGCCCTCGGAGGTGGGGGCCGGCGTGCGGCTGCGGCGCTCTCCCGGGAGCCGGGCGGGCGGGGCCCTCATCCCGCAGACACTTCTGCTGTCCGAGCCTCGGCGTGGTTCCGGTAGGGACCGTGAACGTGCAGACACGAAGCCCACACCTGAGTGGAGAAGCACGGCCTGTCCCAGATGCAAAGGGTTCAGGTTCTGTGCCAAACCCAGGTGCACTTAATCATGTTCGTTGGCCAGAAGTTTTTTTTTTTTTTTGGAAGTTACTAGGTGAATGAAATGCTGTGTCCCACGCATAGTATTTAATAGTTCAGTAAGAGTGCAATTACTTGTTAAGATCATTTTCTGTGAACTAATGTGAGGCATTGATTTTCTCCTTGTAGTATGTATAGGTGGGTAAAAGTAAGGTATTTGTTAATTTGATATTTTTCATTTCCGTCTTTTAAATGGTACCCGTGTCATTCAAATTATCTTCACATTTGAAAAAAGAATGACTGACACTGGACATCATTGTGTTTATCCATGTCTATTAGTACCTATTCTTTGCTTCATGTTGCAGTGTGGCTTTTGGCCCTGCCTAGAGTCATTTGCAATATTATAATGGTTAAACTTTAGTGTTTGAGAAGAGAGTCATGCTGAGAACAGATGGCTATTGTCTGATTATCTCTAAAATATTAGTGTGTTTCTTAAAAGAGGCAACACAGTTTTCTTTACAGACACTCAGAATGAGTGTCTATACACGATTTCCTCTGAATCTTTAAAAATTTTACAATTATGATCTAAAAAAATGCCTTTACTCTAGTTATAAAGATGAAACTTTTTTGTGTTTTCACAGCTGAAAAGGTTTTTTCAAGTACCAAATGATTCTTCCTGTTTTTTTTTTTAAGATTTATTTATTTATTTGACAGAGTGAGAGAAAGAGAGAGCACAAGCAGGGGGAGGGGCAGAGGGAGAAGCGGACTCCCTGGGAGTCCAGTGTGGGACTCGATCCCAGGACCCTGGGATCACGACCTGAGCCGAAGGCGGACGCTAGTGACTGAGCCGCCCAGGTGCCGCTACGAAATGATTCTTAAGATAGTGTTTATCAAAGTGCTCAGGCCCAGGACTCCTTGGAATCAGAGACATATTTTTAAGGATCTTTAGTTCACTCGAATTCATGAAATTCTTTAAACCTGCCAGAACAGGTCTGTTTCACTATATTTTCTACAGCTGACAGTATTAGCATGAAGATAGATTTGGTGATTGTGAACATCACAGTTTTGGGTATAACTGGGTCATGTGTCCTGAGCTAATCGGCCCACTTATGTTTTTAATTTCTGGATTGGCGTTTACATAATATTAGATATTGTCCCATTACTCTAATTTAGAAGCTTGTTTCGATTCATGTATAGCGTTGGTGTGATTTCTTATGTTAAGAAATTGGTATTGAGGTTTTTTACAGAACGCCGTGGAAGAGGAGTCGGTGGCTCCGAGGTTACTGTGTCCATAGTCCACGTGGGGGGCATCTCCGGGCGTGGGCACTGACTGGCCCTTGCGCGTCTTGCTTGTTTTTATTGCTGAGGTCCAGGCGTGCCTTTCAGGCAATGTTCCTTTCCTTTTTTTTTTTTTACAACTATTCTGCTGTTAACTCCTCTGCTACTGTAGGAAGGGAAGAGTCCCAGTTTCCCAGTATACAGTTTTGCTGCTTATTAGTGACTCATCAGTGACACGCTTGAACTTGGAAGCTGTGTTTGTTGAAGGAAACATACACATTTCTTTATAGTACTTTGTTGCTTTGTTCTTCTACTCTATTAACATGTAGGCAAAGAGGGCAGTGTTTATTTTTCTTAAGGAAGGTTTAAGCATTAGGCATATTTTAAATGGTTTCTCCCTTTACTATCAGTTGGCTTCTCAGCAATGCTTCTCCTCAAAATGGAAACAATAAGGCTGTTAGATACTTAATGTGAGTTTAAGCTAGTTATTGTATTGACCTACTTTTACTTAGATACATGTAAGTTACGCACCTTCTAGTACTTGAGTGTTTTTTGTTGAAGGTTCCCAAGTTTTCTAACCCTTTGGCAGCAGCTAAGAGAGTTGTCTCCGTTTCTAAGTGTGGCAGTACTCTTGGGTTTGGTATCATCTGTTCTGTCGTCTTTGTTCACATTGTTTTTACTCTTTTTAAAAATATGTTTCCAGAATTATACTTAATTGCTGGAAACATTGATTTTTCTTGAGTGACAAACCAATGAAGTGTGTATGACACTAGGCAACACAGACACTTAGGATTTTCTGCTTATCCTGTCTCTGAAAAAATCCATGATTCATCATCTTATTGTTTTTAAATACTGAGGTAAAATTTTCAATACGATAGGAAAATTGCTTTGGAAATGGAATAAATTGCTTGCCAGTTCAAAGGCTCCATCTCTGAAGTGGAGGTTACTAAACGTGATGTTGCTTATGTTCATTATCTTTCAGACTGTTTGTACTACTTTTCTAGCATTAAACTTGATAAGATTGTGACTTTTGCTAAAATGCAGCACAATCGCTGAAAGAACTTAATGAAAAAGACTAAAAATCTCATTTTGTATACTATATTATAATATATTTAAGTGGCATTTTGAATTTTGCATTTTGTATAAATATTCATTTTCTAGTTGACTGTTTTAAAAGAAGTGATCTTATGCAGAGAATGAGAAAAAAGGAATTTTTCTGAGGAAACCTATTAACTCTGTTTTAGGCCCGCTACCTCACAGCTGAGAGGAGCTTTTGTGTGAGCCCCTCAAATGACGAGTCTCCTGTTGTGGGGATGTTGTGTGGTGGTGTGGATGGTGACTGGAGCGAGGGGACCCTGGGTGCTGGTCGGGGCGGGGACAGGTGCTGCCGCTCCTCACTGTGACTCTCGGAAGGCCCTCCCTCCGCCTTACTGCTGTCAGCGACAGCGTGTGGGTGTCCGACACCCGGGACCGGGTTTCATCACTGGAACTAAAGTCTTCCGTGCTTTTTGGGTAGACTTTTAAGCAGCACAGCACAGTAATGGTCATCTTGGTAGATCAATCTTGTGTACATTTTTCATGTTTTCAAATATTTGTTTTCATGGATCATTAGAACCTATGGTTAAAGTTACTCCCATTACAAAAAAGGGCTGTCAGGGCATTTTCACAAACTGTCCTCCATAAAAGTTGTTCACACTCTTGCTAGCCATTAAGAGTGCTTCGTTAGCCAAGACTGTTAAGAATGCTAAGGGTGAAGAATTTTTTTCAGTTGTTTTAATTTGCGTGTTTTAGAAGTTCTCTTGGAAACAAAAATTACTCCTAGTGTTAAAACCTTCCACTGACTTCCCTTCCACTGAGAGTTAAAGTGAGACTCCTTATCCTGGCAGGCCGTGCCCACGGGACTCACCCCTGCCCACCCCTTCAGCCGCATCCGGTGGCCCTCCCGTGCCTTGCCCACTCCAGCTGCCCCGGCTTTCTCTCCAGTCCTGAGCCCTCAAGGCTCTGCAGCCCCTTCCAGGTCTCCCAAGACCTTCTGTGGTTGGTTCCTTTCATGCAGGTGTCTCTTCTTGAGACTCGGCTTCCTTCTGGCCCTCGCGCCTTCTGTATTAGAGTCTTCCCAGCTCGTCTCCCTTTGCAAGTAGGCGGCCGGCTTCTTGTGTTTGTCCTCCTCGGGACAGCGCTCGCCCAGGGCGGTCCCTCAGGTGTGTGTGGGAAGGGTTAGAGTTCCTAATGTGGCTGCACATAATTCTCGAAGTACAGCTGTATTTCTTTTTTTATGAATTGTCTTTGCTCATCTGTCATTCAAAGTGTTTGCTTTTTTTTTTTTTTTAAAGCTTTTATTTATTTATTTGACAGAGATAGAGAGCACAAGTAGGCAGAGAGGCAGGCAGAGGGAGAGGGAGAAGCAGGCTCTCCACCGAGCAGGGAGCCCGATGCGGGACTCGATCCTGGGACTCCAGGATCATGACCTGAGCCGAAGGCAGTCGCTTAACCAACTGAGCCACCCAGGCACCCAAGTGTTTGCTTCTTTTTAAATTTTATTTGTGAGAACTGTTTCTGAGGAATGGTTTTACTGTCATGTGATGTACAAGTTTCTCATTTGCGCTAACCTTTTCTTCTTGGACCATGCAGAATACAGGTACCCTGGGTGCCCGGTTGTGGGAAGGGCTCCGTAGACCCCAGCCCCCTTCTCCAGGGCCTCACAGTCCAGGAGGCCTTCAGGAGTGTTCTTTCTCCTTCTGGTGTTTGGTCTCATTGACAGGCCAGCTCCCCAAGTGATCAAACTCTTGCCTGAATGTGCCTGGTGTGTGAGGATTTGGCTTTTCCAGGATAGCCATACCGATTCTAGTTCCTTAACTGCGGCAGCCGGCAGGACGGTGAGGGGAAGGGGCCTGGTGGTGCGTTCAGGCAGACCCCAGGGTAGAAACCAGCTTCGTATGTTGGAGATGTGGGTAGTGATGAGGAAATACCCATCTTCTGGGGGTTACGCGGCTGCTAGGGAGCTGGATTTCAGCGATATTTATAGCATTTGTTCCTTTTTAAAAAATTTATCAGACCTAACATAAAACTTACCATCTTAACCACGTCTACCCAGCATGCAGTGCAGTGGCCGTGAGCACATTCACGCTGTTGTACCACTGTCCTCACCTCCCGCCCCCAGGCCTCCTTCCTCATCCCAAACCCAAGCTCTGCACCCGGGAGACGCCTCGCTGTCCCCCCTCCCTGGCCCCCGTAGCCTTTCTGTACCTCCGTGTCTGTGGAGTTGACTGCTGTCACCTCGTGGAGGTGGAGCCCTTCAGGGTCTGTCGTATTGCGTCTGGCTAATTTCACTGAGCGAAATGTTTTCAAGCTTCGTGCCATAGCACACGTCACATTCCCCGGGTGATGTCACATGGTATGGATAGACCACATTTGGTCTTGGACATTTCAGTTATTTTTCTTTTTCATAGTAAGAATTTCCTATGTTAATTGTCTAAAACTAGGAATTAAATGAACGTAAGCGAGGTGCTTAAATTCATGCCTGACAGTTTCAGCAAACACTGGCCGCCGGCTTCTCCTGTCCTTCCTCCTCCTCTCAACGCTGAATTTCTACCTGGGCAGCAGGGAAGGGAGGCCACGCTGGCTTGCACCCACGTTCACTGTCCTTCCTTCAGCCTCGCCCTCTGCTTTCCCTCCCCCAGGGGGTAGATGTCCCTTGCTCTGTAGCTGGGAGGGGTAACCTGAGGATCCAGATGTTCTTCAGTAGCTTTCAGTCAGTTCCTACTCTTCCCTCCCTCCCCACCCACTTCAGAGGTCCACCTGACGCCAGACCCGCCCCTCCAGGGTCCCAGGGTTCTCCTGCTTCCTCGCTGCTGTGCTGAGACTCCTGTTTTTCTTGGATCTGCTTATTTACCATCCATCTGTCTGCTTTCTAGCTTTCTACATTTTGTTATCATCTCTTGTTTTCTGTTCTGTAGGTTTCAGCTTTAAGAAAAAGCAGTGTTTTTGGTATTGAAGGCAGTCGTGTATTTAATCTTCCATTTTTATGGGAAACACTTTCTAATCCTTTCTACATGTGTGTGTCTGTCTGTGTTTTCTCTTTCAGAAGACAGCTGTTCTGGGCGTCCTAATCTGCAGAGCGGTGTAGACCTCTAGTCGCTCTCCTTACAGGAGTTAACAGTTGTAGTTATCTCGAAGCAGGCTGCCTTCTGTGTCCCAGCTCCAGTTCCAGAATTCCCATGGATAGTTGTGGCTTAGCTTGGGTGACTGGCAGTCCTTCCTGAGCTGTGCGCTGCCCCACCTACCTTCCCTACCTTCCCGTACGCAGCGGTCATTCCACACGCACCCTGCCCCTCTACCTGGATGCAGCCCCTACAGCCTGAGCTCAGTCGGCACCTTCCAAGGGCTAGGTGACTGTCTCGCCAGTAGCCACTGCTATCATTTAAGATTTCCTGGTGAATGAGTCTGAGCTTGTGAGTTACAAGCTGTGTCCGTTACTGACTGCTGTGTCTTCAGTGTGGGCACGCATGTATTGGTGCTCAGCAGTTGACTGAGTGTGTGTACCCAGCATAGCCAAACGGCTTGCAGAGCATTTTCTCACCTTCCTGTAAGGATTTTGAGAGGTGATCTTCCTTGGGGTCCTCAGCCTAACGTACTCTTTGTACTCCAGTGTTTTCAGAGGTCTCGTGGTTTTTATCTTTTATATGAAATTATATTGGGAGGAGGAGAAGTGTTTGGGTGGTTAGTGTTTGCTAAAGATCTGCTCACCGTCTACTCAGGCTTATTCTCTGCTTTACGGTCTAAGGGCAGGTGGTCCCTGTATTTGTCGTGTGCTGTGTGTCGGTTCCCCTCGATGCCTAATCGGCACTGCACCGAAGCACCAGCGTGCCCGGGGGAGCCTCAGCACAGGCCGTCAGCACACTTACATCCTCCATGAGGAGAACACCTCTGTCTTCAACTCACCACCCTCTCTTATCCGAGGGCCATTTCACATGAGGGAGGAAAGATGAGAGCGAGGTAGCGGGAAGCAGGATTGTCAAATTGACTCAGAATACAAAGAAAAAAATCGTCATTAATTGCTATGCAGTTGTATTAGTGTCCTATTGCTGTTGTAAAATTATCATAAATGTAGTGGCTTACAACAAATGTATTATTTTCCAGTTCTGAAGGTCAGAACCGTATGGACTCACAGGGCTACAGTCAGGGTGTCAGTATGCAGCATCTCCTCCTGTAGGTCCTTGCAGAGAGTCCAGTTCCATGTGGTTGTAGGTTAAAGTCCTGTTTTCTTGCGCCCAAATTACTCTAATACAATACGTTTAAGAGATACTACCAATCAGTGTGGAAGAGATGGACTCTTGCATAAATAACATCGCCATTTCTGTTGTTGTATAGTATATATATCCCTGCAAAACTTCGTATTTGGTAGAAATGCTCGCTGGAAGTAACAGGGTTTATGGGCAAAAGTAAGTTAGGGCAGACCACTGGGGACCACATCACTAACAAAAACCGTCATAGTCCTGGTGACATTTGCTGAAGGGGCACATTGAGTTCCTGGCCAGTGAAGATTTACCTGTGAGGAGGCTGGTGCCACGGGAGAGGGTCCTAGTTCCTGGGGTGCCCCCAGTGCACACGCCCCAAATACGCCCAGCTCCACTGAACAGCATGGGGAGCAGCCTTAGCCACAGTTTGTAAGTAGTAGTGCAGGACCCCGTGTGCTAGCAAACGTGAATCGGTGCCGGTGATGACAAGATACCATTTTCCTCCGTTTATTTAAGCGAAGGGGACATGTATTTAGCTCTCATCTGAGGAGGGTGAGGTAAAATTGCTTTTGGCATTATTCATAGCACTTAGTGGTGGGAGTTTAAATTTGCAGTTGGCAATAAGATTTCAAGTGTTTTAGAGCTTATGACTTTGTACAAACTATTGCAGTTCTGGGATTCTTTGAAAGAATTCATGTAAAAATATGGAGAAAGTTCTGTGTACAGATATTTGCACGGAAACATTATTTAGTGGGAATTTATAAATGTTTTCTCTGTCCAGCAGTGGGGGATACCTCAGTAACCTGTAACTCAGTAATCCACTTGCTGGCTTATTTTTTTAGTTACCACATGTTAAAAAGATGGTAAAAGGAGCTTAGGTAGCAGGTCAGCATTGGCCTTATTGTCCAAGGACATCTTTATAGTCATTGAATTCCACTTGTGTTTGGATTCTTTTTTTTCTTTTTTAAAGATTTTATTTATTTACTTGAGAGAGAATGAGAGATGGAGAGCACGAGACGGAAGAGGGTCAGAGGGAGAAGCAGACTCCCCGCTGAGCAGGGAGCCCGATGCGGGACTCGATCCCGGGACTCCAGGACCATGACCCGAGCCGAAGGCAGTCGCTTAACCAACTGAGCCACCCAGGCGCCCCACTTGTGTTTGGATTCTTGACAGCTAGGCACCTGTTTCAAAAAAATAAAGTTTCAAGAAGGTGGAGGCTTCTGGAATGTTGCCTTCTGACCTTTTCACAGAATCCTAGTAAGCAAAGGACTGCCTGGCACCGTCACTGCATATACCCGCACATGCACACGCCCCCACACACATGCAGGTGTGTGAACACCCACATCCACAGATTGCCTGAAGGACTGCTAAGTTGGCACATATAAAGCTCGTTTATGTACTCTGCACTGTGTGTATACTTCATATACATTTAAAGCTTGTTATGTACTGTAGAAGATGTATTTCAATAACATCTTAGAGCAGAATGGAAATAATTCTGTTCTTGGATATTCCTGA